ACTTTGAGTTCAGGGTTGTGAGTGATTGTGGGTGTAGATGATTGTAGTGAGTGTAGTGAATGTCTTAGCTCCAGACTAACACCCAGGGTTGACCTTAGGGTCCAACAGTTCTAAGGTTGACTCATCTTGAGTTTCTCCCATAGTGACCCCACCTACTAAGTATTTAGAGGTTGAGACCAACATGTGGAACTTCAAGTTGAGTAAAGAAGAGGGTAGAATTTCTAATGGTGAGGGTTCCATGTCTAGTTTTCTAAGAATAGTCAATAGGAAAATCCTTTCGCTAGACCTTAGACTACTAAAGAGGAAGAACTAAACCTCAACAAAAAATGAGGTCAACAAAGCTCAAAGTTGAAAAGTTTCATTTACCAAGATACATTAACTTCTTAGTTTGAAGATCCCAAAAGTTAAGTAATCCTACTTGAAAGAAGCAAACAATCCACACAGTAGCTCAAAGGCCTTCATTCTCTTATTCTTCTCATGATAATTCAATTGTAGACTCAATAAAATCAAAAAGCTAAATGCATATACATAAACACTTGTATAGAATATTTGTGTGTGTATTCTAAAGCCCTCCTAAAAATGTGGTTGAACCATGTCCACTTGCCAAAATGGATGAACCAAGCCCTTCTATCGGAGTGGCTAAACACATCTCATTTACCCATGGTGAGCAACCTAGCCCACCTAGACAGATATAGCTACTAAAAATGTTCATCATTATCAGGAAGCATGCACGTATATCTTTAAAAGTGCTTCTTGACAACCACATCATTGTCTTTTCATCAAGACATCAAGGTGGGAGTCGTATAGTACTAAAGATATATTTTATTATTTTTTCCTAGTATAAAAAAAGTCAAGCTAAGAGAGAGGGAGGTTTCTCTCATTTTTTTTCTCTCTCTATCTCTATCTTTTTATCCAAGTAAACCATATATTTTGGAGACCCTCTAAAGAGCCAAATTTTCTAGCTTACCGGAGGCTCGAGTTCAATAGATAATATCTGAGACCACTTTTAGGTCCTACACCCATTTCTCTCTCTTCTTCCTTTTCTCTACAAAATAATATCTTCATAAATTTCTATTTAACCAAGAATAATACTTGACCATGTATCCTAACAGGAATTAATACCATGGTACTCATTATCTTTATTTTTAATAAAAATTCTTTTTTAAATAGATAACCCAAAGAAATGAAAATCGAACTAGATCAACATGTTTGACCAATTCAACTATAAATTTGTTATTTGAACTATTCTAATCCATATAAATTTCTCTTTTTGTATTGAGCCACCCAAAATCTCTTTAAACTGCTAAGCAAACTAACCTAATGGTTCAACCAAAATAATGCCTCATTTGATCCAACAACTAGAAATTAATAAATTAATTGTATAAAAAATCTAATAAATTAACATGTAAAATATAAAAAGTAAAATCACAAAATTAAAACCCTATTCCATATTCTAACCCTTTTAGGATTTAATTTTTCCTTATGTAAGATAGCCTTCTTTACTCGAAAGCATGCCATTGTTTATCTTTGATTCATTACTTACTAGCTACTCATTGCATGTTCATCGACCATTCACTTGCTCTTTAGCCTCTTACCATCTTAAAATTATCACTTCACAAATAGATAAATATATGAGTATATAATTGGTTAATTCTTCAATCTATCTTTCATCATTTAAAAGATGAAGATGGTACAATATTAGCTTAATTTTAAGTAATTATTTTGGGTAAGAAAAATCTTATGTAGTGGCCAAGACAACATTGACAGCTTTTATCTTGTCATTTTTTGTTGAATTTCGAGAGTGAAAGCAGCATGGTAAACTTAGCTACTTATTTATTAAGTAGTCTTTTAGGCATCATTCTATTTTACCATGCAAAATCATCCACCTTAACGAATCTTATTTCTATGGGTTTTGGGAGGCTTTTTGATGAATTTTGTTTGGTTTCATGTTATTGCAAATGAGTTGGTCACCATTTTTCTTGCTTTGGGTGTGATATTTGGAATCAACTCTTCCAATTTCAGACTTACATGATAACATGGGGTAATTTCTTAATTAATTTTCTTAAAATGCTTCTCTAGCATTGAAAGAAACTGACAAAGTACATATTATAATTTTAATTTTTTTTGCATTTCTTTTGTTCAATGCACTTTCTAGTCTAAGGAAATCAATAATTCTCAAGCCATTCTAAGTTGCTATGTCTTTATGTGTCCATCCAAAAGACAGTTGTTTGATTAGGCATTCTTATGAGTAGACTCATCTAGTCTCTGTTAATCTTTCCAAGAAGCAGTATGCAACCTGGACATTTATTAGGATTTGGCTTTATTACAATATATGTAATATTTCTTTCTTTAGAATTATGTGGTGATTCAGGTGTGATCTCAAATATAGATTTGTAATCTTAGTTGGTTTTTATTGTGCTCAATATCATTCAAGGGAAGTGGTATATAAGTGGAAACCTATGAGTGTTATATTTTATTTCTAGAATTTATCCAAAATTGATCACTCTATATGTCGGTAAAATATGTGCCCTTTTAATACTTATATTAAATAAACTTTGCAGTTGCTACAACATGTGAGTAGAAGTTTATATCTAGTAGTGAGATATATTTTTTGTTTCTTTGAACATTCATCTATGAATTTGGTTATGCTTATTAGTAGTATTTGTAGTTGATTAAACAATTCACATCCAAAAATTGCTTACCATTCAAACATTCATTTTCATGTGATCGTATTTATGTCATGATCGTTGGTAATCTATGCCACTTAAAGTTTCATGTGCATTACATTTTCAAATTTAAGGACAAGTTACTAAGTCACTCTATATGTCGGTAAAATATGTGCCCTTTTAATACTTATATTAAATAAACTTTGCAGTTGCTACAACATGTGAGTAGAAGTTTATATCTAGTAGTGAGATATATTTTTTGTTTCTTTGAACATTCATCTATGAATTTGGTTATGCTTATTAGTAGTATTTGTAGTTGATTAAACAATTCACATCCAAAAATTGCTTACCATTCAAACATTCATTTTCATGTGATCGTATTTATGTCATGATGGTTGGTAATCTATGCCACTTAAAGTTTCAGGTGCAGTACATTTTCAAATTTAAGGACAAGTTACTAAGGATTACTAGCACATTTTTCTTTACTTTGATTATGTGGTCATATTATTCATCTACTTATGAAAAATATTGTTAACACGTATTAAAGAAGTTCATAACATTTTTTTAAAAAAAATTGTTAACACGTATTAAAGAAGTTCATAACATTTTTTAATTAAATTTATTGAGCATGACAATCTTGCAATTTTGTCTTTTTATTCTTCTTATAATGTGGTCGTTTGGAATTCAACATTCTATGTCTTCTTTTAATGTTCATAAAAGCATTAATCCAGTATGAAATCATTTGACTGAAAGTAAAACTCATGATGGAAAGAAGCAATTCTTCTTATAATGTGGTCGTTTGGAATTCAACATTTTATTTCTTCTTTTAATGTTCATAAAAGCATTAATCCAGTTTAAGTTTTTTCAATGTGGACTAATACACAAACATGGAGGCTTAAAGAAGACGAAACAACATTTTTCTAGGGTTAAATGAAGCAATAAGTCATGCAAGAATGTCTTATATGATATTCACTATCAAAAGTTAGAAATTTTAAAAACAATGTCTGAAAAAGCTTAAAATGTGGACTAATACACAAACATGGAGGCTTAAAGATGACGAAACAACATTTTTCTAGGGTTAAATGAAGAAATAAGTCATGCAAGAATGTCTTATTTGGTATTCACTATCAAAAGTTAGAAAATTTAAAAACAAAGTCTGAAAAAGCTTAGTTATGATGATCTAAAAAGTAAAATTTATAAAAAAAGATGTAATTCTCATTACTAAAGAGATGAATATAAAAGATAATGGGCAAATTAGTATTAAATTTTTACTTCTATTTAATTTGATAATCTGAGAGAAATATCAGAGTTTTATAAATTTGATTTATGGATGCAAATGAATTTATCGATTTATTTTCTTTAGGGAGGTAGAGTTTAGGGAACCACCTTTTGAAGAGGGAAGTTTCAGAGATGCAATACTTGAGAAAGAAACGTAAATATGCTTAATTTTATAGTAACTTATTTGTGTTAATTTAATATTTGATATATATTTTATCATTTGTGCTTCTTGAAAGAAATTTTGGGAGTAGAATACTAGACTTAGGCACTAATAGTGCAACATGGATGTTAAATTATATTTGTCATAATTTATATGTTCTTTTATTGATAGTAAACAGTGTCTACTATAATTTTCCATGTATTTATGCAATTGAGTGCTAAATGTTATTTTATTTATGATTTTAGTTAGCTTATTTGTTGCTAATAATTTTTTTTATTTTCACTTCTTTTTAGAATATTTTAGTTAGCTTATTTGTTGCTAATAATTTTTTTATTTTCACTTCTTTTTAGAATAAAAAAACAATCTTTTAAAGAAAATGTAGAACAATATTTCAAGAAACTAACATTAATATGAAGAAAATATTAGTTATTTAAATATGTTTTTTAATATTACAATTATAGGAAATGATTTTCCATATGATTTATATTCCAAGGGATAATTTTATTCTACTACATATATTAAACATTATTATGTTATTTAAATCCCATATAATATTTTTATATTTAAGTTATCACTGAGCTAACTGATTTAACCGTTAGATTTTGAACCTTCTATTTCTTTTCACTTTGAGCCTGACTTTCAAAACATTTAAGATATAACATTATGATATGCCTTACAAAATCGTATTATTTAGAGCTTCGGAGTATGAGTCAGCGTTGCAATTAAAATCACTCGGCCACGTTTCGAATTAAAATATTTACTGATTGCATTGGCCTGGCCACGGCACCCGCATATTAAATTACTCATATAATTCTCAGGGCATTACTGTCATTTCTTTGTCGTGCGCCTCTTTATAAATTAGGCGTAGCTAGCGTCAAGTAAACCACTCACTTTCCTACTAATAGACCAAGGGGCATAAACTGTAAATACAGAGCGATGAGACTTATTGAGCTCGTTCGGTGCGGCCGGCCGGTGGTGGTGGAGGATTCTCCTTTACCTTTCACTTCGTCCGAAGAACCGGAGAAGCGGCGGCGGGAACAGCCGGGAGCACATAGTGGAGCTTATTCGACATGGCGGCCTTCGCTTGGCTCCATCTCAGAGGACGGCCTGAATCTTATTCCTTCGGCGAAGTCTACGCCTTCGCCGGCTAAGGTCGGGAAGAATCCGGACAAGGGGAGGCCAAGGAGAGCGGCCACCGCTCGCCGGAGGGAGAGGGATTTCTCCAGGTGATTGTTGGAATTGTTGCGACGGAATTTTATTTAATTACTTGAATGCAATATTTTTATCTTGTGGGATTTTTTTTTACTGGGATGATTAATAGAGATAAGTATTGTCAATTAACAAAAAAATATGTTGGTAATGAAAGTGAATGTTGCGAATTGATGGTATTTGATAATATTGTAATTATAAAATATCATCAAAATATCATCAAATATTATGAAATTCACATATATTTATGTAATATTTTTTCTCTCGCGAGACGGATTTAATTTAATATTTTAATAAAAAATTAAGATAATTACATAACTCTCGAAATTTTAGTATTGAAAAGATAATGATTTTTTTTAATAAAATAATCTATATATTTTTATGTGTCAACTTCAAATCAATAAAAATTTGATAAAATATAAAATAAAATAAAATAAAAAATTAATAGAGCACATAATATTCACATGCCAACAAGCCCGTATTACTAAATAATATACGTCCACAACATGTACTAAAAATAAACCAAAATAGCAATACATATTCATAATTTTCATTAAATGAAATCATGACAAATATAATATGGTTGAATAATCAACTACAAATTTTGCCATAATGTTAGTCAATAATTGTTTTATTAACTAGTATTGTATTTATTTATGCAGGCATTATGACGTACCAGCCGTGTTTCCTGCTTTTCCTCCAACACTCTTCATGTTCTGATGTGAAGATTGAGAAGAAATAAAAGGAAAAAATGAGATGAAAGAAAGCTATTAAATCATCTTACTTTGCATAGATGTTTGAATCTCATGAGTAAGTCGAATGCAATGGACTCCTACACAAGAGATTGAGACACTTTGATGAACTCTGTTGGGAAAAGGCATATATGACCATGTTGAAGAAATTTCAGACCAGAGAAAAGTGTCAAAATACTTTCCGATTATTTACACGAGCCTTTTTAATCACGGAGTTATATAAGTGTCAAAATAATTTCTGATTATGTTAAAATTGAATTTTAATAATTCTCAACGGGGACTATTTCAAACTCAATTTTAAGAGTTTAGAAACTATTTTAACACTTCTATAATTTTTAAGACAAAAACGGCTCAATGTAAATAAGCAGGAACTATTCATGCAATTAACTTTCAGAGTTCGAGGGGCCTATGAAGTTATCATTATTAGTTAGTTATACTTCACTATATTGGAACTACTTGATATATTTTTGTTGTCTTTCTTAGCCTCTGTTATAGTTATATTTGTACAGATACTATGAAATATAATGTAAGAAATGTTTGCAGTTAATCCACAAATCTTTATTATGCCTATGAAATTTGTCTTATTGCTACTATGTTGGTTCTCTTTTCTCCACCTGCAATTGAGATTAATGTTTTCCTAATCTCAAAGTAGATCAATGGTTTTGAAATTCATTTGAATCATTTTTTTGGCCAGAATGTCCAGATAAAATTTTGTAAATTTAGGAAAAGAATTTATGGGAATATCCTTAACTAATATTATGGTTAGCAGAGTGGATCTACTTTGAGATCAGAGAATATATGGATCTAATTTCATAGAAATTTTATTGACTAAGGCTCCAAACCTTTTTTTCTTAAGAGAATCTTCGTACATCTTTTGTAGGATAAACCTCAAATCTTCTTAATATATTTAAATTGAATGCCAAAAACATATAATTAATATTGAACTCATGTTAAAATAAGCATAAGAGTTTTAAGATTTATCATTATTTCATGCAAGAAAATTAAATACGGGCGATATTCATGTCTTAATTTTGTTTGAATATCTAGTACACAATCACATAAACAAAAGCTCTTATAGCAACCCTAGAGTTTTATATAAAACATGTAAAAAGAGAAAAATTTATAAGGTCTAATAAAGTTAAAATGATTACTAGTATATATCATAGGTTACAAATGCTATCATTTTTTATAATTGGGGATGATGTTCATGAACTAATATATACATCAATTGTATAAAATAAATTCCATTATAGAAACTAGAGGAGTCTCGAGACATTAAATATATATTCAAAAGTTGTTTGTAATATATTTGTTTTTTCTTAGTTAAAGAGAGGAGTCAAAAAATAAAGAAATTCGATATAAACCTGATACCGATGGCATGTATTAACTCTACCCCTATTCATGTGCATCAATGTTGTTGGTAAAAGTGAACGATATGGCCAATGGGTGTTATTTTTTTGCCAATAGCATACATTGTATTTATAAGCAATGACATGATAAAGACATGTGTCTGCCTTATGGCCAACGTGCTTTGACAACATGTATTAATCTTATGGATTATTACAGGTAGTAAAGATTTAGGGTGTTAGTAGACAGAAAATCATAATTGATAGTCATTGGTTGGGGATGATAATTAAGCAATGATAGTCAAATCGCTGTAATCAAGTGAATGTGGTTAGGTGATCATAGACAAGTGACTAATGTCGGGAGACTGTAAGTAAGTACAACCATAATAGAAAAATTGTGAATGGATGATCATAAGCGTTCAATCATCGAGCGGACTTGAATAGATGGTGATAATCAACCAGCTATAAATGAATAATGATTGTCAAATATTTGTAGTCAGACAACGATTGAGTAGTGGCTACTGTGGAGTGATGGTGATTGAGTTACCGTGAATGAAAGATAAAAATTGAGTAAATATGATTAGGTGATCATAATTTCTCATCTGCGGTTTAGTTATCGTGGTAAGATTATAAAGATTGGTTGACCACATAATCATGGTATGATGACAAATAGAATTTAAGCAATGATAGTAGGGAAACTGTGGGAGAGTTGTAGGGATTAGGAGACCATAGATTGGATACAGAGATGAAGGAGCAATGATGTCCTGATGGTAATGGACTAACAGATGTGTAGTAATAATGTCGAATGCATGGGCAGCGCTGATTGAGAATTGAAGATTTAATGCTTATGGATAGGGGATGATAATCTAATGGTGGTGTACCAAACGATGACAGTCTTAAAATTGTAGATTCATAATGATGATTTGATTGAAGCAGTTGTTCTGACAATCAAATAGCAGTGGTCTAACCACGATGGTTAAGTAGAGTTTAAAGATCTTCGAAGTCTTTGAGCGCTCACTATTCTTAAGTCTAAGTCACGAGCTCTTTCTAGATTTTGGGAGTGAATACATTGTGAGATGCCACCAAATTTGATTATGCTCTATTAGACAGCAAAAAATAACTCCTTTAATCATAACATATTTTGACTGTTTGGTTGCTTTATTGATAGTGAAATTAAGCAATCTTAGACTCATTTGGAATTATCATATTAAGAAATAAGATTTTATTGTAATCAAACAAGATTCAATCCCTCAATCAATATTTCAAAATTTCAACTATAATTTAAGATCTTGATTTGGATTCGACGAGATTTTGATCAGATCACATTGATGATATCAGTCATGTCTCATAAAGATAATCTATTTAATTATAATTTAATTGAAATCAACATTTTGTTGATTCTAAATTTAACCCAAAAAATTATTCAATTCTGCTATGCAACAAGATTTGTACTTATCATGTGGATTTCTTGATAACCTATCAATTCTAAACATATTTTTAATTAACATATTTTAATACAACTTTTTGCATAAAAAAATATTGAGTGCAGCACAAAATAAGAAAACAAAAACTCCCATTAATTAGCACCAACCACATCACCTAAAATTGTAGGGACAATTCAAATCTAATGGTTTTCGTATATGGCCAATAAGAAGTACTATAACTGCTGGGGACATCCCTCTTTATGAAAAGGAAGATTCATGCATGTCATTTTTCAAAGATGATATCGACCACACATGTAGTGGAAGAGTTCATTGCATATCCACATAAAAGAGGAAATCTCAATTATTTAATGACATATATAAATATAGAGAGAGACAGAGAGAGATTGGTGCACTCAATAAGTCGTGAAAAAAAGCGTTGTTTACTTAAGGAGAATGCATGCAACTCTCCCTACGTAATCTCCTCCCAATAACTGCTCAACAACCTCTACAAAGATTATTAGGGGGTTATTGTGGGGTTATTTCGGTGTTATTTTGAGTCAGTACCCTCTGCGATTACAATTTCACATTCCACGGTTACACTTTCACATTTTCTTTAGTGTTAGTGTATTGAATCCAAATAACGCCCAAATAACTCTGCAATAACCCCCTAATAACCTTCGCAGAGGTTATTGAGGGGTTATTGAGAGAGAATTACACATTGAGAATCACATGCGCCATCCGTATGTAAATATTTAATCATACTCAAATGGCCCTCACCGGCTTTAAATCAGAAATTAATTCACATAATTAAGTATAATATAAAAAAATTATCTTTAAATTCTCTTACAATTATTTCTAATACAAAAAACGGGAAGATTTACATACATACTGAATTCCAAGGTATTTAGATATTTAGCACAAATATTTCAATTTTTACATAAATGACAACTTATTGCTACATATAAGAAATGGTATATTTTACTTCGTAAAAATTAAAATGATTTTATTTTTTATGTAATATGAAAGATTTTGATGGTATATTAAAAAAAATAAATTTTAGATGGTAAATATGTAAATACAAAAGAATTGGGGGTATGCCAATAAATGCCCCAAAATTCAATTTCACCTCTTCTTATTTAAAACTGCTTAACACCACGGCTAAAGACAAACTACCTATTTGTTATGCGTTAAATCAGTTGATCAAAACTTTATGTAAATTCGTTTTATAAGAGTTCTCTTTTAAAGAAGCGTTTTCTTTGAATCTTCTATCGGTCATTCAAAGAAGTCTATATATAATCCTATTATATTATATGATAAGATTGATCTTATTTATGAACGAATTCAGGGATAAAAGAATATATTTTTGTTTTATTTTTGCAATTATATAAAATGTTTGGTATAATAAGACAAAAAGGTCCTGAGGTAGAGTTCGTCGAACACAGCTCATGAAATTAAATTTATATTGGAGAAGAGTACAGCTAATAAGGTATTGGAGAATTAAAAATGAAAGGCACAAGGAAGCGACGTCACTAGCCTTGCCTTGTCACTGCGGCTAACTGCATGACAACGTTGCTGGAAAATAGGGACAATGTAATGAGGTTGGGTACGACAAGCACGTCGACATCTACTTTGATTTGGTTGGCCTATAGAAGATTTTGTTTTTTTTTTTTTTAAATAAGGGAGATATGAGGTTCATAATAGGAAAATAATTGTGATAAAATAGAGTATAGAAGGGTCAGCGAAAGGGCAAGAATAAATTTCAACTGTTAGGAGATCATTGCAGGAAACGAAGATTGAGGATTTTTAAGTTGAAGATGAATAATTATTTAAAAATTAATTTAAATTTTGGCTTTGATTAAGATCTAATTAAAGTGAATGAATAGAGCTGAAATTATGGATTAAATTTATTTCGAGTCAATTTCGGACGATACACCAGTCAAATCAATTTTTTTTTAATTTTGAAATTTTTATATGGTAGGCTTTTTAACTTTTCTAAAATTACTTGTATTCATTAATTTTAAACTGATTCAATCAAAACGAGTCAATTCACTTTGATTTTTAGGGTCGAATAGATCTAAATAGCTAAATTCAGGCGAGCAGCATTTTGCATTTGAGCCAAATTGAACTCCATTCAATTTTAAGTCGAGCTGGCTTGATATTGAATACAGCGTGCTAAGAGCTGATTTCATGGAGATCCCAACTCAACTCGATATTAGATCATTCACATCCCTATAAGGAAGTCCAAAAATTATATATATATAATTTTGCTTTTTGAAAAGAATATTTTGATTTTGAAAAATGAGACTGAACAGATCTCATAAGTTCGATAGTTTAAATAATCGAGCATGATATTATAAGTTATACTCTATCTTGAAATATGAGAATATCACTTGATAATAAGCTCAACTATTCAAACTAAGAAATTTATGGTATTTATTTAGACTGCAAAATTTTCAACAGATCATTACTCTACCTAATATAAAAAATATTCAATAGTGTTTAGATTATATGGGTTGCTAATTCTTTTATAGGTGCAAGCCCTATAATTAATTATATCTTCACCAACCAAAGTCAATTAAGAAAACTCTCGATTAAGATCACGGTTTTGCTTCAAGAATTCAAAGTTTAGTTTTCACGATTGGTCGTAAAAAAGTCAAGTGGAAAGGGTTTGGAAACCAAAAGAGCAAAAAGTATTTGGATGTCTTGGATTTTAAGGAGGACCTCAATGAATTACCAGACTATCATATTATTTAGCTTTACATTTTGGAAAGGATGTTATTTGATGTCTATTC